CTTGTTTAGGTCTTCTGCCCATTTTTGGATTGGGTTGTAAAACTGCATAATCTTGACCTAATCACAAGAAAACATCAGACCAAACCCAGATTAAGGGCATTTAACAAAATAACAGGCTTATACTCTTCAAAACTGTGGAGAGCATGAGAAAGAATGACAGTCTCAGGTACCATTCAGATTAAGGGAGATTAAAGAGACGTGATGACTAAAGGTGATGGGTGACCCTAGATTGACTCTTAGGACAATCGTAGATTAGACAGTAGCATTTGCTCAATGTTAATTTTCTGATTTTGATCATGCCATAATTAAATATCAAGTGGCTTAGAAAAAAATAAATAATCCGTAAATGTGTATACACAGAGAGCGTGATAAAGCAAATGTGGTGAAAGGCCAGCATTTGGGTGACAGGGATACATCTGAAATTTGTATACTGTTCACAGTTTTTTTGGTAAATTTGAAGCAATTTTAAAAATCCACTCACCAAGGCATTCTCCTTTTATTCTAAATAAATGTAAAATAGCACAGCTGCATATCTGACAGCAGTCTATTCTCTGCCTCCCTGTTTTATTAACAAAGCATTCAAAGTTCTTTTCCCCATTTTCCTCCCAGTATTGTAGCCAAGTTCATTACTTTATTCCCCCGACACTTCTTTTCATTCCGTTATCAGCCACAACATTGAAAAATCCTGTGATTTTTAGGAGATTCTGTATAAGACAAAGCATTAGCTTCTTTCCATTTCAGGTTGCTCATCTACAGGGAACAAAATTCTGACAAGATCTGGGCTCTGCTGTTCCACTAGTACTCTCCCCCCCACCACCTGAAACCCAGACGTGTGAGGAAAGAAGTCCTTCTTAGATAAGAAGAAAAAATAATTTTCAAATTGTGAGAAGCAATAAAAGAAGAAATAGGGGAAAAAAAAAAAAAGACGCCCATAAATGCTTTGGTCTGGCTCCAGTAACACAGAGCTTTAAACCCAGGAGAATCTGGGTTAAGGTTTGGAGATGATTCCCAAACACTGGCCAGAACCTTCCAGGAAGGCCCTCTGCCCACGTCAGAATAACCTCTGTGTCCTCTGTGCTTGCTTCCTCCCTCCTTCCTTCTCCTCCCAACCTTGACTGCTAGTGCATCGAATTTCCCCTGGGATATAATGAAATGGCCCATACAGAAATGAGCACTTGCCGCCCAAAGATGAAGTACAACACACCAAGTAAGATGAAAGCCAGTGGGACCCCCTTACCGTCAGGCAGCAGTTGTGTGAAACAGGTTCCACGTCTGCACCAGGTCCCTGGGGGGAGGTTGAGGCTACCTCAGTGCATGCAGAATATATAGGGAGAGATTATACATCCGGGTTTTTCATCACACAAGGTGTTTTTGATGGATTCTCAGCCAAGATCCACTTAAAAACAAAAGCTACACAAAGACTACAAAAAGGCCACACAAAGTTTAAACAAAAGGCTAAAGAAGGACCAAACAAAAGCCAAAGAAAGTTTAAACAAAGAGTGAAACAAAGACAAAACAAAGGCCAAAGAAAGAGAAAAACAAAGACGAAAACAAAGGGCAAAAGAAAATCTAAACAAAAGCTAAGCTAAGCTACAACCATATCACACACGCACACCCCACCTACACTATATCCCTACACACACTGGCATATTCTAAGTCTTCCACCTCCTACATCCCACATAATCGACTCCCCATGCCAAACCCCTCACAGAGGCTCCCTCCACACCAGCTGTGCCCCATCAGACCACAAACCGGGTCCAACCGCACCACCCACCAATGCACCCCACCAAACCACACACCCTTCCATCAGTGCACCACCGCCCCTCAGCAGCCATCTCACCCTGCCTTGCTATACCTCACACCACACCCCACAAGCCCTGAACAGAGATGGAGTCACACTGACAAACCCCTATTGTTTCCCTACTCTCTGTAGATTAAATACCCAGCCACACTTCCCTCCCTAACACACCTACATACACATGCCCATGTCTAACATTCACACGCTCATACCCTCCACACACTTAACTTAATAAGAGGACCACAGTCTAGTCACAACTGAGACTGGATTTGGAAGATTCTGTGACAATTACCCTTTGCATTCAAATTTATTAAAACTTTAAAAAAAATCGCTTTTGATTCATGACTTCTGTAAATGATGAATCTCATTCAATTGGCATGATAATATTAGCTTCAGTCTTAGACACTGGCATTATCTTATCATTGTCCTAAAATTTGGTGATCACACTATAATTCTATGCCTCTGTTAAATTTTGTGGGTCCTATAACCTTGTGCTTCTGAAAAACATCATTTTATATATGTAGAATGACACACTAATGATTTGAAAGATGACAGGGCTCTTCTGAAATTAATCCAACCAACAGTAACCTTGTCCCTTGAATTCCCAGAGCTCCCTGCATGATGGTGAGATATAAATTCCAACACTGCCGTCATGTTTCCCTTTAGGTGTATGTCTCAGAGGATGCAAAAAAAAAAAAAAATTAACCCAGGGAACAATGAAAAGGCAATCCAATGAGACTACAACATCCAGTATAAATCTCATTTTAAACTAACTTCATGGCTAATTAAACATTCATTCCCTGAGTAATGAGCTGTGAATGCATGCTGGTTGGTTCACTCCTCCTATGAGGCCAGGGCTTTGCTTGTGCTGCAGTGGATGAGCTTGAGGGTTAAGGAGAGTAAGGTGATTCAGAGCATGGGCTCTGGAGGTCCTGGACACTGGGATAATCACAGGACCCCCCTCATAGGGCTAGGCTGAGCGCTAAGTCAGTCAAGATGTGTACACTGGTTGGACCAGTGCCTGGCACATGCTTAGTACTGCATCAATGTTAGCTACTGTGGTTCTAGCCCTAAAGAACCTTGTAAAACAGGGACGGGCGGTGATTTTAAGAATACCCTTCCAATTCAGAAAGCAGCCAAGGATGAATTCAGGCTATTTAAAAAGTGCAAGTTAGAATGAGTAGCTTATAAATATTCATCTTTAGTAAAGGACCCTCTTGCTTCTCACGTCTTTACAACAATGGTCCTTAGTGGCAAATTTTTATGAAGTTCTGTTTTGGTCTTCTAGTCCATAATATACGGAGTGATGTGTGATTTACACAACCAAAGTACGGAGGTCCCTCAAAATGCTCGTTGAGCCATTTCTTTTCATTCCTTCTTAAATTTAGATGTTTGCCATTCAGACAGTGGTGTTCTTGGTCTCAGAAAGACAGTCTAGGAGGCCACGTCCTCATCAGTGTCACTCCTCTTGAATGACAGTTTTGTGTTCCACAGAGGGCAAGACCTCGCAGGAGTCCAAGTGGAATCATGGTCAAAATTAAGTAACTTGCTAATATTACAGAGGATTTCTTCACAGTAACTTTGACTGCTGTTGACAATGCACACATGCTATGGGTTGAACTGTGTCCCCTCCAAATTCATAAGTTTCAGACTTAACCTCAGAGTATGACCCTATTTAGAGATGGGGTGTTTACAGAGATAATCAGGTTAAAATGAGGTCATCAGTGTGGGCTCTAATTCAATTGAACGGGTATCCTTATAAAAACAGAGAAATTTGGAGACAGAGACACACATAAAGGGATGACAATGTGAAGGCACGGGAGAAGATGGTCACCCACAAGCCAAGGAGAGAAATCTGAACAGACCCTTTTCTCACTGTCCTCAGAAGGAACCAACGCTGCTGACACCTTGATCTCAGACTTCTAGTCTCGAGACCCGTGAGACAATTTCTGTTGTTTAAACCACCCAGTTTGTGGTGCTTTGCTGTGGCAGCCTTGGCACACTAACACAGCACCGTTCTTCTAAGGACTATTTTAATTCCTTTTTATATTTACCAAAATAATGCTCGCACAAGGTTATGACAGTATTCAGAGGCTTATCTTATTTTACCGCCTCATCCCCACTCCATAATCCCACTCGCCAGACATCATAACTAAGGTTGAACTTTAAAAAAATATTTGTTCTGTATTTATCTCCATATTGCTGGATAATGTACACAAACAGCCGTTTCTGTACTTATTTATTGTAGGCTGTTGGCTTCCTGTGAGGGTTTTGTTTTTCTTACATTCTACTTCTTCCTCCCTTTTCCCTCACCCACCAAAGGTAGTTTCATCAGTCAGTATTTATATTATTATAAACATGGAAATACTATTTCCTGCAAACCTGGAGATCAGCTATCATTGTTTCCTTTCTTTGTACAATTTTATTCTTCCTGGAACTGATCATTGTGTTGGTTTCGCTTTCATTTATTTATTTTAATCTGCTTAGTTTCTTCATCACCACTCATTTTTTCTAAATATTCCGGCAGATCTGTCAAGTATCTGTCAGTAATTTTTTTTCAAGCGTGACAATACATCAAATAATTGTTTACTTCTATTGTCTTCTGTAATCTTCTGTTCTCTCTTAAAATGGAATTTCCTCCAGTGTGCTGAGTCTCCACTCATTTCTATCTCCCAAAATTGTATCATAATCGCTCATCTTTTGATGTCTCCTTTTCTTTGGTGGGTAAACACCTTTTAAAAAATTCTCTGCTGCCCCTATGGAGTGAAATTTTTTTTTAAAAATTTTTCACCTTTTAAAAATATTTTACTACTATAATTAGAGTAATATGTGGGGGAAGAAAGAGTAGATAAAATAAGCATGTGTCGTTAACCTGCCACTTTTAACCACAAACACAGCTATAGTTTTTATTTTACTTTATTTTACCATAAAATTCACAATTTTAAAGTGTAAAATTCAGAGATTCTTAATATATTCACAAGGTTGGGGAGGCATCGCCACTGTCAAATCTTGTAACATTTTCATCGTCCTAAAAATAAATCCATGCTGATTAGCCGTGAAGCATAATACTATTTTTATATCAGCACATAGAGTCAAGCATAATAGGGATTAGCAGGTATGGCAAACATTGTTAGAGGGATTACTAAAAGTTAGTATAAAGTGAGTGAGTCTTGTATAGAAGAAAGTCACCTTGGGAAAGACACTGACGAGATAAAGACATCTCCATATTCTACCTAAATACTTAAATATACACAAAGTCATATTCACAATTAGACAATTGCTGTCTGCTTCACAAAGTCATGTATCAAAATATGTGTTGTAAAAGTTGTTTTTTGATTAAAAGGATAAAAGACAGGCCAGAGGCAGCTGGATATAGGTCAGTGGTAGAGTGCAGGCTTAGCACACATGAAGTTTTAAGTTCAGTCTCCAGAATCTCCACCAAAAAAAAAAAAAAAAAAAGTGTTTCAAATAAATTTTTAAAAAAAGCTAAAAAAAAAAGACAGGCCAGAGATATTCAGATTAATGACAATGTTATTTTTCCTGTAGAAATACTTTAAATGAGTTTTATAAATAGTTATAAGCCATTTAATTATTGCAAGGTAAATAATTATGAATTGATCAAATCTGAGAGAAACAGACCTAAATGGTTCTTCACTTGCCCGTCAAGCCTCACTTTCAGAGCAAATGAGTCTCCTCTAAGACTTTGACCTTGATCATACAGATTTTTAGCTGCACAATCCTCAGCTTTCAATGATAAACAGAGGAACAGGACACCCACTGACTGAGCTGCCAGCCAAAGACAAAGCTTCTGTGTGTTCCCAAGCTCCACACCCAATCTCCCTTTCTCTCTCTCTCTACTATGCTTGGGCCCAGTCACAATTGTGTTCTGGCCAGTGGTGACCTGTATAAATGTACATTATGTTCCCTACTTAAGGGGTTGGGTTTTTATCCAACTTGCTCTGTTAAAACTCAGTCTACAGAAGACATGCTTCTGCTGTTCAACTTTCTGGGCCCAGCCCCAGCTTTCACCCTTTGTCATGTTACCTTGAGAGGAAGAAAGGGTAGACACAGGGTAGCAATATCCAAGGATTCTAGCAAAAGGAGAGACTCAGGGTAAGAATGTATCTGTGTGTTGTGTTAGAGAAAACCAGAGCTGAATAGTAATTAAAGTGTTAAAAACAGATTTTATTCAGGAACTTTTGCAATCGGAGAAAAGAGACCTCAGTATAAAACTGGACTCAGTTCCAAATACAATATGGACAAGTGGGGATTAATAGCCAGAGAGCAGGTTAGAGGCGTTGGTGGATGGAAAATCACTAAGAGGAAAAATTGGGAGTAAGGAGGGGATTTCTAGCTAAACTGGCTGGACGGGATTCTTGCTGAAATCCAGCCGGGGAGATCGGATGTTGACGGTGGGGGATTCTTCCTCAAATGACTTAACAAGACTCTTGTTAAAACTGGGTGCTGCAAAGACAGACATTGAAGTCCCAGGGTCAAGGCTAGTTGGGAAGAGGGTTCAGAGGGGCCTGGCTTAAGCTGGTCCAGGAGGGTCTTTGTCAGACATCAGCATGTTGCAGCGGG